CGAGCACTCTCCTGAACCTATATTTCTCTGTTTTCAAGCATGTTTCTTTGTGGTTAATTTTGGTCTAAGGTTGTTCTTCATTTTTGATATAATTGTATGGTCATCATTGTATACTATGCTCACCATGTTCTTCATGATTATACTCTTTCACAACTTCTGGTTACTAGGACTTGCAGGCATATACTGGTTGGCCTGGGGACCAGGCTTCTAAATGTGGGGGAGTGGAGCTGCTGATGCAGATGCGGTTGAGCACTTACTGAGGAAGATGACCAAATTTGATGGAAATAGATGAAGCTCACCTTAGTTCACCTCTGTTTGCAATTTATTTTTCTGTTGTTATTTTCAGTATTTTAATTGTTTTTGGATTACTCTGGTTGGTACATCTTTTTGAATATCCTGCTAGAGCATGGTTTTTAATCTTGTTGAATACTTGTTTTGTATGTGATCAATTTTGGATTGAGGTTTGCTTAATGTTTATGGTGTGTGTACTTTAGACATTTTCAAGTCATATTAGAGCTTTAGTTCATGATTAGTTGCATACGGGTTTCAATGTTGATCATAGACTGAGCTGAGTGTGATAATCTGTGGATGCCAACCGAGTGAGGTCTGAGCCTAAATACTGATGAGAGAAACTACACTTATGTTGCATGATAGACTTTGCTTGAGTTTCCCGGGTGGTTTGCTAGTGTAGTGCAATTACATGATCAAGGCATTTCTATATTTTGATAACCATCTAAGCCAAAAAGCCATATTTATTTTTCTTTTGACCCATATCTTCCTAAGCTTAAACACTCAACCTTCCACTTATCCCAACTTTGAAAAATTAACCATAAACCCTTGTTTTGGTTAAGAGAGTATATTGATGACATCAAATAAGTTTGGGGGAGTTGAAGAATGAAGAAATTTGAGAAAGAAGAAGTATGTGGTAAAAAAAAAAAAAAAAATGAAATAAGATGCAAAAGTGTACAGATGCATCATATAAAGGCTAATGGCTGGAATTGGTTGAGGGCCTGTGCTAAAATGATACATTGGGGTATGGAGAAAGAAATTATTGAAGAAATTTCAAGTACTCTCTTAAGCTATAGCACCCTTATTCCTTGAAAAACCATGAAACCGCTATGCTTGACCCTAATTACCTTAAATTGCCCTAATAAAGCCCTTGTGATAAGTGCCTGCATGTGTATTACCATTGGTTTCATTTGGAAACGAAGAGCAAAGTTGAATCCTGTGGCGTGAGTAGTAGATATGAGAGAAACACTCACCCCTATACACTAGTGTGCATATGAGAGAAACACTTTCCTAGTGAGGATGCATTCATAGATAGTCATTAGCTTTTCTCAGTTCTTTGATCTCTTTTGAAACTTTTGTTTGCACATTGTCATGTTCCATTGCAATAATTGTGGCTGAAAATTCGTTTAAGGTTCATGCTTGTGAAATGAAATTGTAAGTGAACCAAGAATAAGGAATTTGACACACATGCATTGCTTGTTATCTGCTTGATTAATTACCTTTTGCTTGAGGACAAGCAAGGTTCTAAGTTTGGGGGAGTTGTTAAGTCTCAATTTTACCTCTTTTTGGATGAGACTTATACAAGATTTAATGATCAAATTCTTCCATTCTTTGTATCATTGCATATAATTGTTCTCATTTTGGTTTCTTTTGTATATGCAGGTATTCAAGTAGAGAATTGAGGAAAAAAAGGGTTAAAGGAGTGGAAAACAAAAGAATTAAGGAGCAGAGCAGGCAACCGCGCCAGGCGCCGTATTAATCTCGCCGGGCGGGCATAAAATAGAGTACTCTCAGCCTTTGGGAACCTCGCGCCGGGCGCAATTTATAATTGCGCCGGGCTCAATTCAAGGCCGAGAGCACATTGAGCATCAGGGGAAGCCCGCGCCGGGCGCGAAGTGTAACGCGCCGGGCGCAATAACCCTAATTTGTCTCCTCGGGCTGCATAAAAGGAAAATGTCGAGGGTTTTCTCCCTAATTCGCCCAGGGGCGCCTCCAGGAGCTCTGCAGGAGGGATTCTCAGGCTTCGGAAGCCTCCCACGGTGGATCATTCCTTCGGTTCTTCCTTTCCTCTTCCATCTCTATTTTAGTTTTCCCCTCTTTGTTTTGAGAGGTTCTATCCATTGTATTGGGGTTTTGATGTAACCAACAAACTCTATTGTAATCCTTTTGTGTTTAATGTTATATATGTTTTGTTTCATTCCTTGTTGTGTATGATTCTATGCTTAATGCTTGCTTTGGCTTGATCACCCTTTGCATGATTTAAGGTTTCATTGAGTATTGGGAAATATCCTTGAAACTAGTTTTGAACATATGCCTAGTGGGAATTGTACCTAGGGATAGGGCTTGACCCATTAGTAGTCTTAAAACCCTAACCGGTAATGCGGGTGGAGGTATTGAGTACTCAAGGGATTGATATTCAATATTTTGCACCTAGGCTCTTTCTCTAAGGAATTAGGTCTGAGTAAATTTATGGTTGACTGAACAATGAATGTAACAAGAGACATAGGATTCTCTAGTGTTTGTTTGGTGAAATCAAACCCCCACAACTTCAAGTGTCCATTTTACCATTTCTCACCCCATTTCATTTCTAATTCATTTATTTGTGTTTTAACAATTCCAGTAGTTTTGTTCTTAAATTCATATTCATATTTATTGGGATTGTTCTCAAGTCACAAGTAGCCAATGAATGCTTAGTTTACCTTCTAATCCCTGTGGATACGATATTTTTACTACTTGTACGGCCGGTACACTTGCCGTGTTTGAGTCCGTTGAGGGAAGTAACCTAATCTATAATTATAAATAAAAGTACTTCAACGGAATTCTCAACAAGTTTTTCTAATCAAGTAAGAATTTGTTCGAATACAAGTTAATAACACTTTTAAGAATTTTTCTATTCAAAATAAAAAATAATTTTTGGTACAGAAACTCTCAAAAAAGTTTATAAACTTGTATAAAAAGTTTATAAGGAAAAATTTAAATTTGGAGGAAATTTCTGATGTTCTATTTTTTGAATGTAAGTGTTGATGATGGAACAGTAGTGAACATGGTAGTAATCCATGGTTATTTTGTTGTATTGTCAATGTAGGCTCCTAAGTGGGAATAAGTTATCCGGTAGTTTACCAGATGAGCTTGGCAATCTTTGGAATTTGGATAGACTCCAAGTTGATGAAAACGAATTGTCAGGTCCTATTCCAGAGTCATTAGCCAACATGGTCAAAGTTAAACATCTGTGAGTGGATCTATGAACCAAATGCACCATCAACTCAGCTAGGAGCTACATTTCTTACGTGTACTTTTATCTGATTCATTTGAATCTTAGCAGCCACATGAACAACAACACGTTAAACGGTCAACTTCCATCCAAACTTTCAAAGCTGTCTAATCTTGTGCATTTGTGAGTGTACCGGAAGGTCCCTATCGGTCACGTTGACCAACA